GACTCAATTTGTGATGTTTGAAGATGACATATCAGATCTATTTGGACTTGAATATCTTGATTCATGAGGTTTTAATGCTAGTTGTTTAGACCAGGCTGATGTACGCAACGAGATGAAGAGATCTATACCATTAGTTTTGAGTTTAGTGAGAGTTGTTGATGATGCTATTTCTGAAATTTGGATCGTGTTTGATTATGTGTTGAGAATTAGAACATTTTGTTGATAGATTTGGAATGTACGTGAAATTCTGAGCAAAATTGTTATAGACTTTGTCATTTTTGATGACCTGAACCTGGACCCTCGCCGGAGAAGACGGCCAGAGTCTTCTCCGGCCACCACCAACCACCAACCTGAATCTCCACTCTGATGACCTGAGATTTGGAGAAGATGAGTTGTAGATCACAGGATCTTGCCTTGACCATTGACTGACCTGAAGATCCAACGCATGTGATTTAAAGTTGGTTTGGAAATTCTGAGATCAAAACACTGCCGTTTCATTAAATTGCGTGGCATCATGAGGAGCGCTAGATGTTCCTTGACTCGTTGAATGGCTTACTGATCCAAATGTTGTGGATTATTCGTGGCTTTTATTTGATTTTTATTCCATTTTGTTTTTTTAATTGATTGTTGATTCCAAAAATCATATTAATTCCAATTTTGATCCAAAAATTATTTTAAAAATATCCTCATGATCCTTATGGAATATATGATTTTCTGGGATTAACAAAAGGTAATTCCATGCATTTTTCAATTTTATTTGATTTTTCACATTTTATTGTGTTCTTTATTTTTTGCATAATTCTCCATCTGTTTTGCTGAATTTTGTTCTTCCAATTGGTGATGAGTTTGGCTTTGATTTTTTAGTATGTGTTAGGGTAGGCATGTATGTTCCCTTAGAATTTTTGGTGGATTTTTAGAATAACATTAGGTTCTGTTTTAGGTGTTGAGATTAGAACCTTCCCAAACTTGTGGATCCCCTTGACCTATTTCACTTTAGGAATTGTTTAGATAACTTAGAAGTTGAATTAGGCTTCAATATTTTTACATTAGGTTGTTCAAACATGTATGTTACCCTAGGAATTTAATTAGAATTTTGCAACTTGGTTTTCTATTTTAGTTGTATTTTGCAAGTGGCTTGTATTTGTGGATTCCTCTCTTGAGTGCTTTGGATTGTTTGGCTTGGTTGGCTGCTTTGGAGCTGGTTTAAGCTTGAGTTCTTTTTGATGGAGCTTCTGGATTCATTGAAGATGCTTGGGATTGAAGATTGGAGCTTGGAGTTGAAGGCTTTTCCTCTTGTGGAGTTTTTTTTAGGAGCTTAAGAAATTAGGGTTTTAGGAAGTGCCTTAGACCTAGTTTTGATTCTTTCTTCAAACATGGAGTGCATTGTTTGCCTATATTCTATCCAATGACATAAATTCCTCCTTGGGAAGCTCCATCTCTCCTTAGGAGGGATGAGTGGTATGCCCAAGTGAGTAGAACTTTGAGGATACCTTCCATTTGCTATGTTGAGTTCTTAGTGATTTCCTTTGGTTGTCATTAAGTTCCTTAACATTATAATTTGATCTTGATGATTAATCCTCCTCTTGGAGTGTGCTTGTTGGAGCTTGAAGATTGATGAAGCTTGAAGATAGAAGCTTGCTTGAAGATGAAGCCTTGCTGTCAACTTTGTTGTCTATTCAATCTTGCTGTTTAGAGCTGCTGTTGCTGTTTGCTGTAGGAGTTTGTTGCTGCTGCTTGGGCTGCCTCCTCTGTGTCTTTTGTTTTTCTCTGTATTGTTTGTTTGTTTGTTTTGGTTAACTCTAGGTTTGAGGTGGAGCTTGTCTCCTCTTGCCTGTTGTCTTCTCCCTTTCCTCTCTTATATTGCTGCATTGCATGCATTTTACTGTTTACTGTAATTGGTTGCTGTCTTTTGCTGTTTATCCCCTAGGATCTCTGATTTCCTCTGTGCAAGAGGAAATTATGACAGGCATTAGGTTCTGACCCATGCATGATAACATTAGGCTAGTTTCCCTTTCAACCATAGGCTTTTTAGAGCGTCTTTCTCTTCTCATCTCAAAACAATTCAAAAACACAGTAATAAGGATAACGCGTGCTGTACGTTACAAGCCTTAAGCTATTTGAGAAAAGGTTGCTGGATGGTCACTCTTCAGTAATCTAGCTGCTTAGTATGGTACCCCTAGGGTGACATGCGACGTATTCACTCTTAGATCACAAGTCTTTAGTGCAGTACAAGTTGCAAACAGACTAAAAAACATTTCTTTTGTAAAAAACTCAGACAAACATTCAAACTCTGCTTTTGTCCGCTTGGACCTTTAGTCAGGAAAACCCTTTTCAGAAGGAGATAAAAAACTGTTAGACAAGCTTGTGTCCTCCGTAGCCTGAACTACATTTGCTCTGATCTTTCATGCTGTATGAAAGTACGTAGGCATAGGATGCGATATCCTAGCGATCAACCTTTCCCGTAGGTAGGCGAACTACGTTGACTCTGATTTCTCGTTTCAGACGGGAATACGTAGGCATAAAGTGCGATACTTTACCGAGTCATTTTCTTTTCTTTTTAACCCAGACCTGTAGAGTAGATAGAATAACACACCCTTAGATAGAAAACAAGCGTGGATCCCGTCGAGTACGACGGACGTGAGGGGTGCTAATACCTTCCCCTTGCGTAACCGACTCCCAAATCCAGGATTTGGTTGCGATGACCATTCCTTTCCCTCTTTGCGTTAGGTTTACTCTGAGTGTTTCCTTTCCCTATTGTGGGATAAATAACGCACGGTGGCGACTCTTCTGTCATAGCCGACGCCGATTTTCGCAGTAGCGACACTACTACCACCGCCTTTGAATACACCTCTGTTGTTTGCGGAAGCCATACTGGATCGATTAGGAATAGGTTACCTAAACCTGCTCTGATGCCAATTGAAAGTCTGAGTTATACCTAAGAGGGGGGTGAATTAGGTTCTTTGAAATTTTCTGGTTTTAGAGACTGATTTATTACTTTCTTGAGATATAATGATGGTATGAAAGTGGTAAAGTGCAGAAAGTAAAGAACACCAAGAAATATCCTAGTTCCCTTCACACTCCGAAGGTACTCCAGTCCCCTTTCAACACGAAAGAGATTTCACTATAGTTAGGGTCAGTGTACAATACTTTATAACCTATAGGTAGATCAAAGGCTCTTAAACACCTTTAAGATTTAAAACACTAAGTGCAGGAAGAACAATCCTCTTCAATGCACACACTTGCTTTCAAAAATCCTGAACAGCAAGGGGAAATAAATACAATCTGATTTTGTAATGAGTTTGTAACAATGTATACAATGTTTATCAATGCTGTAGATTGATATTCTCTTTCAATGAGAGTTTCCACAAATGTCTAAGCTCAAGAATTTTCTTTCAAAGGATATAAAAATTATGCAGAAAGTTCTTTATGTAAAGTGATTTTACTTAGATGTGGAAAGATGAAATTGTGATAAAGAATTTGAAAGAGAATTGAAAGAGGTTTGTGTTTTTTTGAAAATTTTGAAAGATTTAGGTATTTATATTACACAAACACCTTTTGAGAAAACCATGCAAATCTCCAAAAAAAATTGATGAATAATTGTCATGTTTCAAAGGAAACATTTCATGGAAGATTGGTTGAAGAGATGCAATTTTTCAGTATGATTTTTCAAAAACGTTCAGTGAGCAATCAATTGCACATAGACCAATCGATTGCACCTTCACAAAAACACTTGAAAATTCAAATTTTCAATAGAGCAATCGATTGCACCAAAAGAACCAATCGATTGCACACTAAAACAGAAGCGAAAAAAGAGAGATTTTCAAGCATGCAATCGATTGCACCAAGGCACCAAGCGATTGCTTACTGAAACAGAAGCAAAAATGATTTAAAATTTTGATCATGCAATCGATTGCTCTAAGAGTGCAATCAATTGCACTTACAAAAACTTAGAGAAATTCTGTTTTAAAAAGCTTGTGTTAGTGTGAAAAGTAATGTAAAAGGTTTTTAATATTTTGAGCAATCAGGACTTAAATACTTGATGAAAATTCTCATTATACCTTCTGAGGGAAATATTCTTCGTGTCAAGTCTTTGTCCTGATTCTGATATCTTGAAATGGTTGATCATCTTTGCCTTCTTTGTGAAGTGATTTGTCTTCATCAAAACATAGGTTGATCTCTGAGAATCTTGATTTCACTTATTATTATTGATATTTTTGTTTGCCTTTCATCTTTTACTTGTATTATTATTTCAACTTAATTTTACTATTATTTTTAAGTTTTAATCATATTATTATTTTTAAGGAAATGCTAACGAGTGCCCTCAGGGCATTGGTTAAGAGATTAAAATGATAAGTTGGACATTATTTAAGATATTGAAAATACATTTTTTTTAAATATATGTGTATTCAATGCCCTGAAAAGAGAAATAATCAGACTTTTTAAAAATATTGTGTGTATTGAGTAAACTAAATATAACATATTTTCCTTATTTAAAATTCTTAACTAGTGTCCTGAGGACACTGGTTAGCATGACCCTACTTTTTAATTTGATTAATAATCAGATATTCCTAACATAAAATCCTCGCTCATACAACGTGGGTTAATTACTAGTTTTTTCTAGAAGAAAACGTACTAATGCAAAATAAACATAAATGTTGACTTTTGTTCTCAGCTTTTTAGTTGTTACACCGCAGGGAAATTACCAACACACACCCCTGCGTTCTTCATTTTTGGCGCGCACATGCGGAATCAACGCCTAAACTGTCGGTAGGACCTACACTGTGTCCTTCAGTGGCACCCTCTGTAAATAAACATTAAACCAACGGACAAATGAGTCAAAAGAATCACGCGCTGCTGTATTACAAGAAACCAACCCTCTTCTAACGGTCCAACCTACACACAAACGCCACAACACAGTCTGAATCTCTCCGCCGCCACCAAACTGTCGGCAGAGCTCCCAACAGCCGTGGTGCGCCGAATTTCTTTTACTCTCGCGCACAATGAAGCTCAAGCTTAGCTCAAATCTAAGTCTCTTCTGCTTCGGCTTGGCCTTGAAACTCGTCTTTCTGCCAACGGCGGTGGCACAACTTCAGCACCACAGCCTCGACATGCATTGGTATCCTGGAACCGCCACCTGGTACGGTGACCCCAACGGAGACGGAAGTACCGGTAAACAAGATCTCTCTCTGTTTTTCTTTCACTTAACAAACAACTTTAGAGTTAACTAGCTTGACTTACATGAAAGGCATTTGAATTTTGATAGGTGGAGCGTGTGGATACGGTATGTTGGTGGACGTGAAGCCGTTGAGGGCGAGAGTAGGGGCGGTGGGGTCAGTACTGTTTATGAAAGGGGAAGGTTGCGGTGCGTGTTACAAAGTCAAGTGCTTAGACAATAGCATATGTTCCAGGCGAGCTGTTACGGTCATAATCACCGACGAGTGCCCTGGCTGCCCCACGGACTCCACCCACTTTGATCTCAGCGGCGCTGCTTTTGGACACATGGCTATCTCCGGCGAAAATGGTCAGCTCAGAAACCGCGGTCAAATCCCTGTCATTTACCGAAGGTAATAAAACCTTACTTTTCATGAAATAAAGTAAAATAATGGTTTTTATTTAATGCCTACTTTTCATGAAATAAAGTAAAATAATGGTTTTTATTTAATGCCTACTTTTCATGAAATAAAGTAAAATAATGGTTTTCATTTTATGCCAAATGAAAAAGTAAAGTATAACTGTTTTTTTTTTTGATGGGGTTACTTTCTGAACTTTACCTTTGTTGTATATTGGCTCTTTGAATAGGACTGTTCTTTTCTCGTTTAATGTGGTGTAAACAATTGACTTTTCATTTCTTTGTTTTTGAACTTTGGTTTATTTATATAATATGATAACTCAGCTCAGATTCCTTTTAAGGAAAAATGATTTTTATTTGTTTCCCCTACCCTGTTTGTTTCTATAAATTAAGGTATACTCTGCTGAATCATGATTGATGCAATTCAATGCAATGCACTTTTTTGTTTGTTTTGTGGATTAAGGGGAAAACCACGTTTTAAATATCAATTTTTTTCTAATAAATGAATTTTGTCTTGTTTGAAATGCAGAACTCCATGTAAATATCCTGGGAGAAAAATTGCCTTCCATGTTAACGAAGGTTCCACGCCATTTTGGTTATCACTTCTGGTTGAATTTGAAGATGCAGAAGGAGATATAGGCACCATGCATATAAGAGAAGTATGCATCTTTCTCCTCTTGCTTGTGTTTATGTTTATTTTTATTGATGTAAACTTGATTTATTTAACTAATAAAGTGCAAAAATGTTTGGAACAATGAATCTTGAAAAATGTTTGGAAATATTTGTCTAAAAGTGAATTAAAGTAGTATTATGGTGATTCACGGTACATTTATTTATGTTCCTTGATAGTAAAAACTAGTAATATTTCAGTTCATACCCAGAGAGTTAAACTATTTCCAAATTTAGGGGACGTGTCTGTTAAATCACGTGTCTTTGTCCCACTCTTTCACCATCTTTTGCAATTGAGAGAGACCCTCTTCTCTCCTATTAATTATATTATCAGTGTATTTTCTTTCTCATGGTGCTTTTTCTCTTTACTATTGCTACTATTATCTGCACTCAAAGCATGTGATATGGGACCTACAATCTTTAACTAACATTCCTCACCCCACTCTATAATGGGGTTCCAGTCATATAAGTTTTATAAGCAATTTGAAGAATGAACCTAACTTTATATTATGGTTTTAATTTTTGTTGACAGAATGGTTCTAATGAGTGGCTGCAAATGAATCATGTGTGGGGTGCAAATTGGTGCATTATTGGGGGACCTTTAAGGGGACCATACTCTGTTAAACTCAGCTCTTCCACTGGTAGAACCCTATCAGCTAGGGATGTTATTCCTAGCAATTGGGTACCAAAGGCCACTTACACTTCTCGCCTAAATTTCTACCCTTAAAACACATCCTTCGCAATTGGTACAAAAAAACCAATCAATGATACTTCCTATAGTGGGTAAGTAATAACCACATTTTACCTAGTTAATAAATTAAAGTTTGGTCACGTCCCCCATAACATAAAAATAGTCTTCCTTGGTTCCCAACCCTCTTTCTATTAGTTTGCTATATACACTTGTAATATTTTTTTAAAGAAAAGCAGCCATTTGTTTGCACAAGGGCATTCAATGGTCTTTCTATTTTCTTGTTTTCCTTTTTTGTTTTGTATACCTAATTTTATGGTGTTAGTTTTGGTAGTAAATGTCTAATGTAGCCCTCTCCAAAATTGGAGAGAGAGCGTGTAGGGTAGCATCCTTAATTTTCTATGGAGTTGAATGTGTGTACTGAGCCAGTTAGGCATGTAATGAATACTATTTATTTCCGAGCCTTTGAATGTCTTTAAATTTTACATTGGATTATCTATGTTTTTGTCGGATTTGTATAGTAAAAAAACCAGTTTAGATTCTGTTCAATTCGGTTTAAAACATACTATTCATGCTAAAAACGAGTTTTTGTTAGGACCAGATATAAAACAAGGGTTTCTTCCAACTGGTTTTTGATTGAAACCCAGTTTACAATTCAACAGCTTCTTTATAATATATCCAACTGTTTTAAAGTGAATTTTGAAATTAACAACCTCACATCAGCGGCGGATTCTCGAATTCCAATTAGGATCTTTCTAAAACTTGATCAACAATTGTTTGATTTTCAGAAAATTATAAAGTGCTTCATAAAGAGAAATAAAAAGAAAGCACAAGAAACATAATAACAAATCAAGATGCACTAGTGTGATAAGAATTTAAACAAGGTGAAAGTGGAATAACAAACCAACCTTGTCATTTTTGACAATCAAAACATTGATTTATTAGAGAGAAAAACTTCGATTAAATACATAGCATGAGATGGAGATGAAGTTATGAAACAAAAATTCTAAGGAATTATTAAAAAAAGGTTTCAACTATAAAACGAGGAAATAAATATGAATTATTGTATAATATATAATCAGTGGGATACCACGCTTTCGGCTCCCGTCCATGTTAAGAAACGTGATTGGGCCTAACTCAACCCTATAAATTTTGTAGGGTTGAGTTAGGCCCAACCACGTTTCTTAACATGGTCTCAAGAGTCTCGTTTAAGATCAAGTGGACCACCTTCTATGGTTTCCGCTATCGGGCCACCCACCATTTATTTCCACGCTTCAGTTGTGGTTGGACCTAACTCAACCCTACAAAACCGGTTGGTAGAGTGAGGATTGCCCACACTTATAAACACATGTTCATGCCATATATTTGTAAGTAGTAACTGCGCCTAAGAGGGGGGGGGGGGGTGAATTAGGATCCTTAAAAATTTGTTGCAATCTTGTATGGTTCCTTGGTTCTTTTTCCGGTTATTAGTTAGTGACAGAAAGTAAATGCAGGAAAAAAGAGACACAAGAAGATTTATAATGGTTCCCTTCACACTCCGAAGGTACTCCACTCCCATTTCGACTTGAAAGAGTATTTCACTATAGTTCAGAATTTTTGTAAAGCCTAATCACACAACTGTGATGCTTACTATCTAAACCTATAGGTAATCAAAGTGTTGAAGAACAATCCTCTTCAAGACACTTCACTTGGTAATACACAAATTATACTCAGATAAGGTAATACACAAAAATGTTCTTGAGAAAATATTTAATGGAAAGTTGTTTATCAATCTTCAAGGTTGATCTTCTTCTCAAAACAAATTATACTCAGATAAAATATACAAGTGTTCTTTGTGAAAGAAGGCTGTGAGAGTGTGAAAGTTATTTTAATGACTTCTTTCAAAATATGATTTGAACACTTAATGAAAATTCAAAAGGTTGAAGACAAAGAGTAATTTGATTAATTTGTTTCTTGAAGGTTGTTTTTGATTTTGAAATTGAAATCAATTTATATTGGTGAAAAACCTTTCCAAAAAGGTGTGATTTTGGGACAGTAAAAAATAGCCAGTAAGAAAATATAGAACAATGCAATTCTCCATGAAAAGCTGCTATTTTTGGTTGTTGTTACAGTGTTAATCGGTTAACCAAATAGGTTAATCGGTTAACACCTTTCCAACCTTAAAAAATATTTGAAATTTTCATGTGTTAATCGGTTAACTCATATGGTTAATCGGTTAACACTGTTATGAAGTTCCAAAAACATAATTTTAGATTGTGTTAATCGGTTAACCAATATGGTTAATCGGTTAACACTGAAGGTTTTTGTAAAAATACTTAATTTAAAATAGAATAGGTATTTTAAAAAAGTTTTGAAAGTGTTAGTGTAAGTGGTGTAGTGAAATGTGATTTTTAAAAAACACTTGTATAAATTTTCTAAAGTAAAAAATGTTTATACCGTTCTTTGAATCACCATTTTCACTTATAGCTTGTAGACGAAGCTTTGATCGATAAAGTCGTATGCAATGATACTCTCTTGATCTTTGTTGATCTTGTTTGCTTGCTTGCGTCTCTTGCTTTTTGCGAAGACTTCAGAAGAATGATGATTCTGGTTTCATCTTCAATATATACCCTTATGGGTGTACTTCTGGTTTTATCTTCAATATGTTAAACTGGTATAATACTTTCATATATTTCAATCGTATATTTCAAATGGAAATTGGTTATATTTATATACACAGAAAACCCTATTTCTAATTATAACTAAATCAAAATAATTATAACCAAATCAGAGTAATTAACAATTAATAACTATATTCCTATTATAGTTCCTACAATTTTGTTGACAGCTAACGCCAACACTCCCCCTCAAGTTGGTGCATAGATATCTCAAATGCCCAACTTGTCAAGTGCGTTGTAGAAGTCTCTACTACATATAGCTTTTGTGAGTATATCTGCTAATTGATCTTCAGATTTAACAAACGGAAATTGAATTATCTTGGTCTCCAAATTTTGCTTAATAAAGTGTCGATCTACTTCCACGTGCTTTGTTCGATCATGTTGAACCGGATAATGAGCAATTTCAATTGCAGACTTATTGTCACAAAAAAGATTCATTACACTATTCGGAGCAAAGCCAATTTCAATTAACAGTCTTCGAAGCCAGAGATGCTCACAAAGACCTTTAGCCATCCCTCGAAACTCTGCTTCAGCACTTGATAATGCTACAACATTTTGTTTCTTACTTTTCCATGTAACCAAATTTCCTCCAACAAAGGTAAAATAGCCTGAGGTGGATTTTCTGTTGGTGATATCTCCAGCTCAGTCAGCGTCTGTATAACCTTCAACTTGTACATGATTATTCTTTGTGAACATCAAGCCTTTTCCAGGCGAGGACTTCAAGTACCACATGATTCGAATTACCGCGTCCATGTGATCTTTACTCGGGTTGTGCATAAATTGGCTTACTACACTTACCGCATACGCTATATCAGGTCGTGTATGAGATAAGTAAATAAGTTTGCCAACCAATCTCTGGTACCTTCCTTTGTTTGTTGGCACTTGGTCCGGATATTCTCCAAGTTGGTGGTTCTGGACAATTGGAGTATCTACAGGTTTACTGTAACACCCCCTTCTACACCCCCAAATAATCAAATAAATCATTTAAGCACATTTTAAAATTTCATCAGAGTATAATTAAAACATGGTATAAAAGAGGCATGTCACATCATACACAAAATTGAAACATACAACACCTGCTCTATAAAAGACATGCAATAGTGGGGTAACTTTCAACAGAGGAACTTAGTCCTTACACCCACATCTCAATATTTTGAATTAAAAACGGAAAATCTAAGCATTGAATCATTTAAACATATAATCATACAAATACATATCATCCAGTTTGATTCACCACATCATTCATGTTTACATAAACATTTGTCAGCAGATACATATACAGATGTATCACAAAAGAATGCTATACAATCCTAACTACCCGGTGCTACATATCAGAGCTAACCGACCAAAAGAATGAAGCTATACTTCACAAAAGACCTCCAGCAAACCTAATCTACAATGCCTCATAGAGCCTTATAAAACAGCAGAAGGGTGAGAAATATTATCATAATAATCAATGCATATATATATATATATATATATATATATATATATATATATATATATATATATATATATATATATATATATATATATATATATATATATATATATATATATATATATATATATATATATATATATATATATATATATATATATATATATATATATATATATATATATATATATATATATATATATATATATATATATATATATATATATATATATATATATATATATATATATATATATATATATATATATATATATATATATATATATATATATATATATATATATATATATATATAGACACACACACACACACACACACACACACACACAAGCATAGAATACACATTTTCCGCATTTCTCACCACAATTCATTATCACCATCATATACATCATAATATATGTATAAACAAATATGGATAATCACCTAACATGTTTTATCATGCACACATCCATAATCCTCAATTCAACAATTCATACACAAGCATACTCTCACATAACAATGATATCTATGCCATGTGACTCGATGCAACTCAATGCAACTCATGTCATGTGGTACCACCACTTGCTATCATTTTTCGGTTTTTACATTTAAACCGGGTCCGTCCCCTAGACCAATAACAACAAAAGCCCGTCCTCTAAGCTTTCAAACCCACCCTTCTAGGTTTGGGACAAGTCACTAGCCTCCACGAAACTAGCAAGCATTGCCTCTTGACCAAATGATGCGTATGCAATCAACAACCAAATGCACTTAAGACCATTTGCGCATCTTAATCCCATGCATTCTCAAATAATTCATCACATAAGAATTATAACATGATTGCACACACAACACATTTCATAATAATCAAAGTATTCATACTTTCAACACCAACACCACATTTACCAAGCAATGCACACATATTCACGATATGTTCTCATGCA